GTTGCCAGGGAATTTGAAATTGAAAGTTCATGATGTATGGACTGTGTGAAACCTTATTCAGATAGAGAATTTCTCGACACATTAAAAAGGAAAGAAAGAAATTAAGTAGCTATTTGTTGGGTGGATTTCTTTTCCTAGATACTGCCTAATCCATGGGTAGAGTTCAGAAAGTCATATTCATTTAGGGATTTTTCTAAGCAAAGCCACAAAGAAAGAAAGCTATGCTAAAATTACAAATTATGGAATTGTTATGAATATACTTTATTATAAGATAATTAGGTCTTTGAATATATGAGAAAAACTTTTCTTTAGGACATGTGCAAAATTGTAAATACTATCAGATTTTAGCAAAAGTTGAAAATTAATCTTTATTTAGTCCATTGATCATCTTTCTAGGAAGAATGGGATTTTAATAAGCAGAGGAGATAGAGGGGCATATGGCTGAAGGAAAGTGAGAGCACATAGGTCAGAATATTTCTGGTGTGTTTGGGGTACTTTTTAAACTCTAGGCTATTTGAAGAATAAGATGCATGAACGGGTACAGTGGGATACAAGGTTGGAAAAGTACATTTAGAGCAAATTAAGAAGTTTCTTGAATACTAACATATCTGGATTTTATGATGCAGCCATTAATGAGCCACTGAAAATATTGAAGGATGAAGGAGACAAGTTCTGATAGTTTTTGATGCACGAAGCAAACTCAACCAGGCATATGTAGGCTGAATCCAGTAACTTTAAATAGAGAAGAGTATAAAAGGACTCTAACTAAAGCAGTTACTATGGGAGTGGCTAAAATTTAGACCCAGATTGAATTTGGGCAGGGAGAGAGTTAGAGACGAGATAATTTTAGTGTGTCTAGACCAGTTGATTTAGAAAGTGGAATATTTTCCTAATGTATTATGAAATATCATTACAGAATAAATTCTGCTTATAATAGTTTTATAATGTGTAATATTTTGTGGCTTGCTTTCTTTGTGGCTTTACTTAGAAAAATCTCTGAATGAAGACGGAATTGTAAGCTATGTCCATAGATTAGTCAGCATCTAGGAAAACAAATCCAAGACGGAAGATGGAAGCTAAAACTCAGGTTTTGAGAAGACAGAAAAATTTAATGTTGACACAATTTAATGGATGTACAATATTATTGTTACTCTGTCCTCCCATAACCCTTGTGTAGCTCTCTATCTTAGCATGTAATAGATAGGCATTGAGGTCATTTATTTATCCATCTCCTTCCTCCATTTGACATGCACTCCTGTAAAGGGTAAAACTACCCTCTTATTTATTATCCATATATTCCCAGTCCTTGTGATAGTTCCGTTATGTAAAAGTCACTCAATGTTTGTTGAACTGAACTGAAATTTAAAAGTACACAGATTCGCACCTGAGGTCATAAGATGAAGTTGTAAATACAGGTTTACAAGTCCTTCAATTAAAAATAAGATCCAAAGACACAAAAAACATATATGTATTTTTAAATTAGGTTTGAATTTTGTAAGTGCTATATATGTTATTTCAGATAATCATAATATGAAATACATTAAATGAAGGTATTTCAGATCAAAGCTGCAGATGTTAGTTATATTAAAATCATCAATAATAACATGTATATAAGTAACACTTCTGATTTTTTTTCTGCTATAAAGATCAGATGAAACTGGGTGATTATCATCATCAAAAACTCAGAAATTAATATTTTGAGCTCTTATGTGCACAGCATTGAGTTAAAAATTTTATATTTCATTACAATCTTCACAAAAGTTTTGAGCTGTTACTCTCTACACATAACAAATGAGGAACGTGAGGCTGAGAGAAGTGGTTTGATTTTTTTCAAAGCCACAGAGTGAATCCACAAATAGCAGAACTGGAATTAAAAACAACGTATTTCTGTGCATAAAGCCAATGCATTATAATAAGTCATTCTAAAAACTAACTGGAAAATTAAAAACTAATAACTGAGAAGAATATTTTAATAATTTTATCAGATAAAAATAAAATTGTCACAACTTCTCTTTCATAACTGGTATCCAAATTCCCTCTTCTCTGAAGCTCAGCTTCAGAACATGATAGATGTGTCTTACCTAGAGTTACGTGTATGAAGTTGAGGTTTACTAAGTTTGAATGAGAGACAGATATCTAATCAAAACAGGCCACCAAACGAGGAGGCTAGAAACAAATCTGAAGGGCAGCAATGTTGAGCCAAACAGTATTTAGAGAGCTAACACTTGAAGGAAAGAATTATTGGGTTGGTGTGTTGAACCTGGACTGATTCTACAAATGACACACCAAAGTTCTAGACTTTTATGTATGTGATCATATTTGCACTGGTCCGTGAGATCCATTTAATGATATCAGATATGATCAAAAGCTAGAAACCCCACTCTGCTGTGTTCCTAGAAAAGATAGAGTTGGGATTTTCCTAGTTGACACATTTTATATCAATGCTTCTCAACTTCATTTCTGCAAAGAGTGTCCAGTATTCAAATAGAAAAAGGGTAGTCAGAGAATTATATACAACAGAGAGTAGCAAAGGCTTTTCTAAACTATTCTTACCTCATTACTGACCTGCCATATAGTAATCAATGCAAAATTTATATTACAATAGGAATTTTTTAAAAATGTACTTCAAAGTATTATGGGGATACAAACGTTCTTGGTTACAAGGATTGCTTTTGTAATTCTTGAGTCAGGGTTATAAGCGTGCCCATTACCCAGATAGTGTTCATTGCACCTGTTAGGTAGGTTTTCACCCATCTCTCCCTCCCCCTCCCCCCTATTGATTTCCATTGACTTATACTTCCCTCCATGTACATATGTCCTCATTGGTTAGTTCCAATTTAAAAGTAAGTACATGTGATGTTTGTTTTCCATTCTTTAGATACTTCACTTAGGATAATGGCCTCCAGTTTCATCCATGCTGTTGCAAAAGGCATTAATTCATCCTTCTTCATGGCTGAGTAGTATTATTAATACATGATATACATATATCACATTTTGTTAATCCACTCGTGAATTGATGGGCATTTGGGTTGATTATTCATCTTTGCAATTGTGAATTGTGCCGCAATAAACATTTGAGTGCAGGTGTCTTTTTATAAAAATGACTTCTTTTCCTTTGGATAAATACCCAGTAGTGGGACTGCTGGATTAAATGGTAGGTCTACTTTTAGTTCTTTGAGGAATCTCCATACTGTTTTCCATAGAGGTTGTATTAATTTGCAGTACCACCAACAGTGTGTAAGTGCTCCTTTCTCTCTGCATTCATGCCAGCATCTATTGCTTTTGGACTTTTTAATAAAAGCCATTCTGACTGGGGTAAGGTGATATTTCACTGTGGTTTTAATTTGCATTTCCCTGATGGTTAGTGATGTTGAGCATTTTTTCATACGTTTATTGGCCATTTGTCTATCTTCTTTTGAAAAGCTTTTCTGTATGTCTTTTGCCCACTTTTTAATGGGGCTGTTTGATTTTTTTTCTGATTTGCTTATGTTCTTTGTAGTTTCTGTTTATTAGCCCTTTATCAAATGTATAGCTTGCGAATATTTGCTCCCATTATGTACGTTGTCTATTTGCTCTATTGATTATTACCTTGGCTGTGCAGAAGCTTTTTAATTTAATCAAGTCCCATTTATTTATTGATTTTTGTTGTTGTTGTGATTGCCATTGGGTCTTCTTCATAAATTCTTTGCCTAGGCTGGTATCTAGAAGAGTTTTTCCAACATTTTCTTCTAGAGTTCTTATGGCTTCATGCCTTATATTTCATTGTTTTATCCATCTTGAATTAATGTTTGAGAGTGGTGAGAGATAGGGATCCTGTTTTATTTTTCTGCATATGGCTATCCAGTTGTCCCAGCACCATTTATTGAATAGGGATTCTTTTCCCCAGTAAATACCATAGGGATTTTTATTGCTTTAGCAAAAAAAATGCTTTATCAAAAAATATGCTTTATCAAATTAGTGTTATCAATTTATTAGTGTTTATACTTTGGATTGTATTAATTTGTAAATAAGTTTTGGTTTATAGTTATATAATGAACACAAGCTTAAGGAGTTTCTTCCTACTATTTTACTTGTTCATACAAAACTACTTATTTAAAAAATTTGGTTTACAAATTGGAAGTCTGTGATTTTTCCCTTTTAAAAATGTGTCTGTATATTATTCAAACTTGAGAAACACTTCTCTGGAGGACTCTTATAACAAAAACAAAAACTGATCTTTGTTAAGACTAGAAGTGGTCCAGGAAGAAAGGGATTAGAAAGGTAGGCAGTGGTCATCTAGGATGACTGCATTTGGATGGCACCAAGTTTGGCAGAGATGAAGTGTCACATTTTTGTTCCTCACCAGCTCTCCTGCCAGGAAGTAGAAGGCATGATGGATACTCTCCAGAAGTTGTTATCTATTTTTGGAAAGCCAGCTTGTTAGAAAATCAGCCGAGGAGGCTCCAGATTTACTACGCAGGCATATTTAGATTATAGGGGATATTTCTATGCTTCTTGGTCTGAGACCACATTATGAAAGGCAGGATACTTCTTTAGAACTATTGAAGTGGATTGTGGGTGAAATGAGGTTTTTTAGAATTGTCCACAGTACTTGTGATTAACTGCGGTATATGCAGCTGAAGAATGTGTAACTCTTTGGTTGATGGAGTATATTTTCTTTTCATAAAGTCTCCACATTTGCAATATTCCTCTTACATGTAATCATATCTTCAAAAAGAGGCCTAATAGGTGACAACATTATCTTGCAGATCTGGAAATTATATCAGTCATGTTGTTTGGTTGTCACTTAAATCTTTTGTGAGCCTAACACCTATTCCAGACGGCCAATGATAACCAAAACTTTTTAAAAACACTTCAGAACATTAGTTTTTCTTTGGTAGTTAGACATTTACTAATGAGATATAGTGAGAAGACTATATTCACTATGTATGTAAATACTCAAACTTTATTAGTGGTATGTTATCAAAGGCAATACATATACATATAAATATTAAGGAAATGCCAAAAGCACAAATATTAACAGGTGCATAAAATGTTATCCAATCCTAAAAAGAACATGGATGCATGAATGCAGAAGGCGTTCAGAAAAACTTGGTAAATATGATCAGCATTCTTCCAACCATCATTTGTTCTTTCTTTTGTAGCTGTGAATCATAAAATTAATAAATAAAAACTATGAGTCATCTGTCATGTGCTTAATACTGGGCTAAATTCTGGGAGTGGGGATAGTCTATAAAATATATATACATGATCTTTTTCTTCAAAAAAAAAACTTGTCATCTGGACAGTGAGGCAGACCAAACATAATATCAAATGATATGAGTATTAAATGAATCAAAAATAAGAAGCCAAAGGAAACAGAGAGGAAGAGGTTTCATTATGGTTGTTAAAAGGCAGTTTAGAGAAGAAGGTGAGGTGGGCCAGTGAATTTTAGGTGGGAAAAATCACAGAAGACATCATATGGAATGAGAGTAGATAATTTGTGTTAAGTGATAATAAAGAGAGTAATGTGGATGGATGAAATATTTTATATTTAAGGGACAGCAAGAAAATCTGGAATAGGTAGAGGGCTAACAGATAATGCAAATTTAAGCCAAGTGTAGGAGGCTAAATAATGCAGAGAAAGAATATACTCATTAAGTATTTTTTTGCCTGTTTTTAATTTTCATTTTTCTGTAAAAGAGAAGGGATATGTAAATTTGTTTGATTAACCTTGTTTGATTAAAGATAGCCTACCCATAACATAACAGATGCGTAGGATTAGGACAATGATGTCAAAAAGATCATATATAATTCATGGATATTTGATTCTGTGTCTCTGTCTCGGTCTCTCTGCCTCTCTTTCTATATAAAATATATTATGCTTGACTTATGTCAGATATCTGATTATATTATGTGTATTATATACTTATAGTATATATGAGTTATACTGAGCTCTGTGATATCTATTTATATCTACCTAACTCATGTCTACATCACTTGATTTACCTAAGCCAGTA